GCGGCTAACCATGTCCCTTTAGTGGCTCCGTAGAACGCGTTGTTTGTTTTCCATGCCTTTCTGCAAACAGATTCACGCTTCATGCACACCCCCTAACCCCGCCCCCGATGTCATCATCCATCATGATGTTTCACTGTAGACATCGTCCGATGCCAATTTGGTAGACATCGCCCAACCCTAGCTGTTACTGCCACTGTATTCTTTTTTTTTTTTTTGCAAGGGACTTGCAGTGTACATTTAGCATCATGGAATTGTTTTGTTGAGGTTTTTGGCAGCTCATGTCATTTGTGGACAGTCTGCCCTGTGTTTATCATACATCTTTGTTTTGAACACCAGCTCAGACGGACAGTCCAGAGATTCTGCCAGGAGAAACTCACTCCCTACGCTGATGAGATTGACAAGACAAATGAGTTTCCCCACATGAGGGTGAGTTTCCGTACATGACAAGTATCTCAGGGGTCTCTCTGTAATAATCCTGAGTAATGAATCCTAACAAATATGATCTGTTTTTAAAACTAGAACTTTTGGAAGGAGATGGGTGAGCTTGGACTGATTGGAGTTACTGCTCCAGGTTGGACCATTTATAGGCTGTCTTCAAAAACCATTGTTTATGAGCTAACTGTTGCTGAGACCGTATTGAGCACAGTCTGATGGGATTCTCCTGTGATGTTTTTGTGTGCAGTGGAGTACGGTGGAACAGGATTGGGCTACCTTGATCATGTGATTGTTATGGAGGAGATCTCCCGCGTGTCAGCAGCTATTGCTCTCAGCTATGGCGCACACTCCAACTTGTGTGTAAATCAGATGGTTCGACATGCAAACCAGAAACAGAAAGAGAAGTACATGCCAAAGGTGTGAGTCAAAACATTTATTCATTTAGCAGAGCAAAACTACTGTCTATTACATTTTCTATTAAGCTAGCTTTTTAAAACTGACCCATGACATTATGCATTAGGGAAAATCCATTTTGTAAATGCAGAATAATTAAATGTATTTAGGTTATTTATGGATTTTCGGGGTTCAGTTGCTTTTCACAATTATGCATATGTTTGTGCTTCAGTTGATGACAGGGGAGCATGTGGGTGCCTTGGCCATGAGTGAGCCCAACTCTGGATCTGATGTGGTGTCCATGAAACTGACAGCGAAAAAACAAGGTGACTGGCCTTCTGTTATCACCCTATGCTGCTCTGTTAGTCACCACTGTCTGTTGCTATAATAAGCACCATTACATCAGTGCCATGGACTTGTCATAACTGGTTAGATACATGGTTACATGCATGTTACAGCATAATTGTTGACTGATTTGTCAGATATGTTGTCCTTTCGTTTACACTACAGTTCAGAAGTTTGAGATCAGTAAGATTTTATTTGTAAAAAAAATTAATACTTTTGTTCAAAAAGAATGTGATAAATTGACAAAGTGACAGTAAAAACATTTATAATGTTACAAAAGATTTCATATAAATGCTATTCTTTTGAACCTTCTATTCATCAAAGAATCCTGGAAAATTGTGTCTCAGTTTTCACAAAAATTAAGCAACACAATTGTTTTGAACAATTGTTTCTTGAGCACCAAATCAGCATATTAGAATTATTTCTGAAGGATCATTTGACACTGAAGACTGAAGAAATGGCATCACCAGAATTAATTACATTTAAAAATCTATTAAAATAGAAAACAGTTCTTTTGTATTAATATCTCACAGTAGTATTGCTGTTTTTACTGTATTTTTGATCAGTTAAATGCTGGCTTGATGAATATGAGAGGCATCTTTCTAAAATATTAACAAATCGTATGGACCCCAAACTTGAATGGATGTTTAAGCGCTAATTTATGCATGAATATGTAAGGGTTATATCTTATTAGGAATGCACCAATATTCTAATGATTCTGATGAGCCACTAATTTTTTATGGACCTTAATAACCAATAAATGGCTGATAGTAAAATGCAGTATTTTGTCTAAATAAATAAAATCAGTCACTTAGACATCACAGCACTATAATGCAAAGTATGAAAAATGGACGTTCATTTTGGCATTTGTTAAAGATTACATAAGCCGATATATTAATAGTTTCTCCAATAAAATAAATGTAAAAAAATATGTTGTACGTTCCTACTTATTAGTGTTTGTAATGTAGATTTGTAATGCTTATTCCATTGCATAAGAAATTTGTCACTGGCAAA